TCTTTTCTTTTCTTTTCTTTTCTTTTCTTTTCTTTTCTTTTCTTTTCGCAGCTTTTTCTGTTTGTTTTCTGAGGAGAGGGGGAAGCATTTTTTTGCTTTGATGTTAATAGTTTGAAGGGATAATTCTTACCATGCTTAGCGGTGTTCAGTTCTGAGCTATCTTATAGTAATTATTGTGAGAATTCATTTAACTTCTACATAGAGCTGCACAGGCTGTACTTCAGTGGTTACTCTAAGGTAGTGTCTTCGTGTACTGAAGTTTATTTAGAAACTTTGAGATGCTAGTGGCACTTCGTGCACTTAGAAAATTATCCTTGTGCATAGAGTGTTGTCAGGTTTATTTATACATAAAGATTATCACCAGATGTTGATTAAACTTCACCAAAGTCTTATACAAATCAACTCTTAATGAGGAGGTCAGAGACTGTCCAAAGTTGAATCCCTGGTATTGTGGACCCAGAATAATGACTACATTCTTTTTATTTGTTGTTTTTAGAGGAAATAATAGTTAGCATTCTTAAATGTCTTAAAAACCTGTGACTATGCATATACACATTTGGAAAACAATCAAAGAAAAAAAACCACACCAACTCCCAACCCAGAGCTACTTCCTAGGTGCACTGACAGAAAGTTCAGCATGTAATAACGGAAAAACATCATCCCAAGGGTTCTATATCACACAATAAGCTAACTGCAGAGAGGAGAATAACAAAATGATTTGAAGTTTTCTTCTCTCACACAATACATACTGTCAGTCAGAATCTAATATCCTGTTCTCATCTTACATCTAGATTCTGCATCAGCAATATGAAGTTTGTTCCTGTTAACTCCCTGTAAAGTAAAAAATAGATGTCTGTAAAAATGAAAACTTCTAATTTAAATGAAATCAAAGGCATACTGCTGTTGTCTGTGCAACTCCCTAGCATTTTTGATGTTAATAACAGTATTTGCATAAATGAGAACTACCAGCTTCTTTGAGATACTTTTATGTGGCAGCTCTGTGTTTAGAACTAGAAAGCTCATTAGAAATTGTTCAGAAAATAACAATAGACTTTCCAAATCAGGTACTAGCGGATGTAGAGCTATTTCAGCCTAACAGGACACATTAATGAAACGTCTCTGGAGGCTCCGGCTATTGAAAAAATGCTGTTGACCCATATAGAATTGTGAGGTAATTCAGTTCGGAGGGGACCTCTTAAAGATCATCAAATCCATCATGTTGCTCAAAACCAGTCTGATTAAATCAGATTACCTAAGCCTTGTTGCAACTTAGCATGTGGTTCTGTGGTACTGCAGCCTTCTCAGCCACCACAGTTCTTTCTAAGCTGAGCATCTGTAGATTGGTTTCATTTGCTTGTTTTTTTTTTTTTTATGTGTGTTTACCACCACCACCAACATACATGCAGCTGCATGGATATTCTATTCCAGGAGCTTGTGGGCTGACAACAGCTTATTTTCCTTTGTTTACTTTTTGGAAGAAGAGATCTTTCTGTCTATACTGGTTGCTGTGTTGTGCACCTTTTGATCTATGAATATAAGGAGAAACAATGGGCATGAATGCCAAAGCAGTGGCATGAAAACTTGTACCTAATTATTTCTTTGTACCTCATTGGAACATTGTACGTATGATGTTTCCGGATACAGAACTGGCTACCAAACCTTCCTGAACAAAACAGTTTATTAATTTAATTTCATCCCGTTTTCTTTCAAATACAGCAAGCAATCTTTCAGAAAGGGCTAAAGGCATGCTAAATTAGAAAGCAGTAATTAGTACAGGGGAGAAAAGCAGCTCAAAAGCATCCTCCAGAACAGAGTAATTCTTAAGAGGGCTGAAGGAAGTTTACTGTTTTGCTCATAGAATAAACTTTGCAATTTTTTAAACAAAATCAGGCCTCTGCATCCAGAATACTGTGTCCAGTTCTGGGCTTTACAGATAGAGAAAGACAGGAAACTTCAAGAGTATTCAGCAGAGGGCCACAGCAATGTACGGGGGCCTGGAGGAAAAGCTGAGATATCTGGGTCTGTTCAGCTTGGAGAAGACTGAGGGGAATCTTATTAATGCTTATAAAAATCTAATGGGTGGGAGCAAGTGGCTGGGGCCAGGCTCTTTCCAATGATGCCCAGCAACAGAACGAGGAGCAATGGGTACGAACAGGAACATAGGAATTTCAATAAGAACATGAGAAAAAAAATCACTTATTCATTTTGTGAAATAGAGCATTGAAACAGGCTGTCCAGAGAGGTCATGGAATCCCCTTCTCTGGAGATATTCAAAATCCACCTGGATGCATTCCTGTGTAACCTACTGTCGGGAACCTGCTTTAGCAAACTGTTTGGACTAGATGGTCTCCAGAGTTCTCTTCCAACCCCTACAATTCTGTGATTCTTCACGATCATGTTGCTATTTATGGAAACATCCAACATGCATGAGAAAATTAAGATTCCTTAGTTCTGCATCATGGTTTCAAGTACTTTGATGTAATGGTTTGAATTACTAACTGCTAATGAAGTGTTTTATAGCTTTTTGCTTGCCTGTTTGCTGGTTTGTATTCTCACCTTCCTTCCTGTAAGGAGGTATCAGAAACGCATGCTTTAAACTAGGAAAGAAAACAAAGTTGCCCTTTTCTTATTCCCATAGTCTCAGCCTCTTTGTGGCTTCAGTGAAAGCTGTTGCTCTAAAAAGTGTTGACTGCCTTTCAACAGTGTATCCTTGGTACAAAGTCAATGTATACCTTCTCATGGTCAGGTATCTTAGGATGCTGACGTTCTGCTCTCTTTCAAAAGAAATGAGAAATATTTTCAACCTCCTTGTTATTCTTTATTGTGTTTCACTGCTTAACCAGAGGTCTTTTGAAACTACTCTGAGAGCAGCACTTGGATATAGTTTGGCTAATTTACCAACCTTCATTTAAAATCATCTGCAGTTGGAATACAGAAAAACCACTGCTTCTGGCATATCTGTTACTTTTTAAATTGATAAAAGTAGCTGCAAAATTAATTCCTAAATTAAGAAAATGTCATTTTTTTTTTTTTCAGGTGAAAGTTATGTTTGTGCATCCAATGAACCATATCGGAAAGTTGATTATACCAAGAATGTCAATCCAAACTGGTGTGTGAACATAAGGACCGGGTCCACTCGATCCCTGACATCTTTGACATCCACAAAGAGTGAAGTGAAGGAGAGTAAAGATTTCATTAAACCCAAATTGGTGACTGTTATTAGGAGTGGAGTAAAACCACGAAAAGCTGTAAGAATTCTGCTGAATAAGAAGACTGCTCACTCCTTTGAACAGGTCTTGACTGACATCACAGAAGCCATTAAGTTAGATTCGGGTGTAGTCAAGAGGCTTTGTACACTGGATGGAAAGCAGGTAAGAGATTGAATTGTTGTGAAAATCTAACAATTGTGAGTTACTCTAATTAACCTTGTTTTTATAACTTAAATTCTCGTTACTTTATAGGCTTTAATCTGCTTCTGAATATGGATAATTAAGTAAACTGCACATTTTTACATTTCTGTTCAAAATATCTAGGAAAAATACTAAAATTCTCTCCACTGCAAAAGTAATTGACTACTTTAAGTAAAAGAAAAAACACCTCTTCATATACGGTGTTGTGTTGCTGAACTAAGTGCTTATTGATGCTTTTCAGTAATTGAGTTTCACTTGAAATTTTTGAAAGTAAAATGTTTAAAATACACATTTTCAGAAGCAGAGTTGTATTTTTAAGCTATTGTATTGTGTCATGTGGTATATGAAAAAGATTGGTGTCCTCTTCCATTTCACTTCTACAGTTTACTATTTAATAAACAAAAATACTGGAAAGTCATCCTGGATACAGTAATTAAGATTGCTAAGGCCAAGAATTTTATCTGAAATAGTATTTCACAGGTGATGTTTTAGCTTTACTTTTAGTTTTAAAATGGCAAATACACACTGTTGAGATTAATGACACAATAGGTCTTTTATTCTAACCCATCAATACAAAGGAGCAACCCAACAAATACCGTGCTGCACCAGGTGAAAGTAATACATTAGCTGTTGATCTATCTGGTTGGTGAGTTAGCTCTTTGTGTAGCAGGGCTTTGACACCTAATGCCTTTATTTGACACTGATATGGAACTCCGACAGCTTTGTGAGTCTAGTAACGCAGAGCAACATAGGCTGCCAACTAGATCATGTTTCATACCTGATACCTGGACTGTGGTATCATTGACTTAATATTGGGATCCTTGCTCATTCAAAAGGTATTTTTGCATATCTACATACTTGTGTGTTTGTATGTGCTACTCCTAAAGGTTTTGATTTTGTTTAAGGAGAACTGGGAACTTGTTTTCCACAAGCTTTTAATAATATTTGTGATCCTGTGGACCACTGAAGAAGCACCTTTTTCATGTTGAAAATTGCTAGATAATGTATTGCAGAAAAAGTACACTGATTCAAATAATCTGGATATGAAGTCTTTCTCTCTGGTTAGTTCCGTGTACTACAGACACACTTTCTATATACTTAAAAGTTAGGAAAGAAGTACTTTTGTTCTTAGGTATTAAATAGTGAAAGAAATATGTAAATGAGAATCCTCATTCATGATATCTGTAGGCACTGTCATATGCTCTTTAATTCTTCTAATTGTTTTATATTGTAGGGTTGTTGGTTTTCTTTTCTTGCTTTTTTAAATGATATTTGTAAATGGCATTTTTTACCTGGAGAATCCTTCATAAGAATGCGCTTTGCTTTTTAAAAGTCCGGAAATGTGATTCAATCATGTTTAATTTAATTCATTTCAAAATAGCTTAGAGGATATTTATTCTGCAATAATTATTTTCTCCTGCCCATGAAGTCTTCTGTTAATGTCCCATAAAAGTTATTTTATTTTCTTAGGCAAATAGTTTAAAAAGATTTGGGAAGAGTCAGAAAGACAACTGCTACAATTTGGAGACTTAGTTCAGATTCACATATATGAATTACTGACACAGTAGAAGCTCATTAGTCTGCATTTATGTGGTAGTTGCAGTGGTGCATCAGGGAGCAATAAAATTAACCAATCGGCAGTCATATATTAAATTTCACTTATGTTGCTTGCATATTAATGTTACTCATGGTGGACAATGACTGTCTTCAGTCTACAGTCAGGACAAATAGTCATAAGTAATGCTTCAAAATAAGGGTGTTTTCTCGTTGCTACACAATCTCTCTTCCTTCCTTTGTCTGATAACAAGACTTAGATTGCAAACATAGGTATTTTCAAGCAGAACAGAGAAATTCCTACATCTTGAAGAAAGCAGCCTGCACATATCCTCACTGCACATTCGTTACTACTTCATCTCCACATAAACTCTGCTTTTGGAAGAAAGAACTTCTCTTCCAATTAGGCCTTGGGAAGGAGCCTTTTCTTGCACAACTACAGCACAATTATGATTTAAGGGATCATGTGATATAGTGCCCCAGGAGGAAGACCTATGACTTTAGACACCAGGATAATAAAAACTACCTTCTGATTCTCTACACAGATAGAGACGTCTGAGAGCTGTTTGGGGGCAAACAACTATCACAAAGCAAAGGGCTGACCCCGGTTTGAGGCAAAGAGAATTTCTTTCTTTGTTTACTGCTGGTATATGTTAGAGGTTGGTGCCCAAGGACTTTGTGGGGTTTGGCAAATAAGGAGTTGCTCTGTTGCCAATTACCAATTGGTGGAAATTTCTGAGCCTATTTTCTCTAATGTGGTAATTGCTTATTCTTCTAAATCTGCAAGGGAGGCAAATCTTTTATGTCCGTCCTATTGTTGGCACAGCTTGAAAGGCAACCATTTACAAAAAAAAAAAAAAAAAAAAAAAAAAAAAAGCACTCTGTAAATGGCTATGTTCTTATAAATGTAGCTCTTGTGATTCTCAAGGTTCTCTCCACCCCCCACTTATTTTAACTCTGAGGAAATACCAATTATTTTCTTTTCTTCTTTTTTTTTCAGAGAGGCAGTATGTTTAAATTGTATGTGGAATTGAGGCTGAAATTCAGGAGTTTAAACACATGTAGAATTTGTATCCTTCTATTAGGGACTGTATGGTTCTCATTAACTATGGGACAATTTTGTTGATGTATATAATAAGAAATGAAAAAAAACAGTGATCTATGAAGATACCTTGTTTTTAATTGTAAAGAGTATGATGGAAATTATGTCTACAATCTAAGTTTTGTGTACTCATCTGACTTCATTTATTTTTACTATAGCAAGGCCTGATAATAGCAACACTGACAGCAACATTCATCTCACTTTATTTTCCTTTATTACTTTGAAGGCAGACAATTATTTAGCTTTAAATAGCAAGATTTTAACATTTGGAAGGATTCCTTGTCACCAGATGAGTTATAAAAGGGTGATGTGATTTGAAGGATTAGCACTGGATAGTCTGAAATACAGAATCTCATCTAACTAATGGCAAAACTTGCCATTTCACTTTTGTTAAGCATCTAACATTTTAAAAAAATTTATTTCCAAAACTTTTGTGATTGGTTCTAAGGAAAAATAGTTTCATGAAAGTAACTAGGCTTTTACTTTTCTGTGCTGGCTTCTGTCATTCCAGTTTTCGTCCTTCTGACATTGAGGTTTTCCCAATATATTTGTCTGAGCAGAGTGCTTTCCTTGCTTGGATGGATTTTCCTTTCTCTGTTCTTTTCTGGAATCTGTCACTTCCCTACAGTGAAGCAAGGACAGTCACTCTGAAGCTTCTGCAGTTGAGGAGTTAACCCTTCAATATCTCCAAAGACAATGGAGCATTTCTATCTTGCTTCTGAAGCTTCAGGTAACAATTCTTGCAAAATAGAAGGTAGCAACATAACATATAGGACTTGGAAGCGTATATTATTTGCCACCAAAAAGAAAATGGAAATCTTCACTCCAGGAAGTCAGTAACTTTTCAAGATTGCATTTTATTGCAGTTTAATGGATGAAAGTCTGTAACAAGATTGAAAGGGTAGACGAGCCATCTAAACTATACTCCATTTCCAAAATATTGAGAATATACCACAGATGAAACATACTTTATTTTAAAGGCCTCTTTTTGATGGGCCAAAGGTATTGGTGGATCTCTTTGAAACCAAAAGCTCTGTAATTTTCTGATTACACCTAGTATGTAAATGGGTAATTAAAAATAGCATATTATATTTACTAGTATTCATCAGACTTATCATGCTCTTTTCTCACTATTTTTTTTAATTGCCTAGTGACTGTTCTGAAAACTCACTGAAGACAAATGCTAGCATATGTAAAGTTAATTTTCAATTTGGTTTGTAGAGGTATTTCTAAGAGATCAACTGCAGCTGTTAAAGTACCCATCAGAGACGGCACATCTTAACAGAAACTGAAAGCATTCAGTAGGAGAGACATTAAAGGCTCACAACTTATCCAATCTAGAGGGTAAATATTTACATCTAAAATCCAGATGAATGAAGAGGGCATTTTTGTTTTCAATTAACAAAGGCTGTCTATAGCTTTGGAAGAACTGTTGAGCTAGAGAAAAAAAACAAAATTTGAATGCCAGTAAACATTAAAATATTCAAGTATATACACCTGCATGCCAGAGTAGAATCCATAGAGCAAGATTTACTGTTTAGAGTAAACCCAGTGCTAACAAACCTTATCCACCATTTGAAATAATATGTGACTTTGGGGAAGATGGTCTTATACTAAAGTTAGACTAGAATTGTTTCAGTAAGTAACCGTGGAGAGATGTCTGAGTGTGGGATAAATCTCATGTGAGTGTAAGAAAAACAGAATAATTGAAGTGGCCCAGTTGTTGAGGAAATCCTGTGACAGGAAAAGAGTTCATCCATGGATACTGCAATGCAGTTTTTTTTTTTTTCCTCTTGCGGATTTTTTTTCCACAATTTCAGTTGGTAGGCTCAGAACTGGAATCAGTGGTTGTTTATTGCCAGAGGGAGGGAGGAAATAGTGTACTCAAACAGAGGAGCTAATTTTGGCCTCCATCCATGGATATACAAGTTTTCCCATCTGTGGTTATTTATGGAAGGCAGTGTTATCTGAAACTATCTCAAAATTAACTGAGCCCTGACACAGAAGCAGAGATCTGAAAAATAAACTTGATTTGAAAATGCACCTACACCATTTTTCCACCTATAGATCTTGTCAGGGAATTAACTTCATTTAATGTAGTCACACAAAGGCCACAGGTAGGTAGTATGGTACTCAGGATTTATCTCAAGTATTTACAGCTTTTACCATAATGGTCATAGGATCATTACCATTCTGAAGATAAATAAAAATGAATTAAATAGAAAGTCCAAAACAGTAAGGATTTTGCTTAGAAGTATCAAAATTACGGTGCAGAAAGTATTAAGAGGTGGAAAAAACAACCATC